CCGGACGAGGAACCCCTGCCGCTTTCTCCGCTGGATCCCAGTGTTCCAAGCCGCCCTGTGGACAATCCTCCCTGATTCAGCTTATTTTTGTAATTAGGACTCTCCCCCTTAGTTTCTTTTTGTACATAGGTCTGTCAGTAAAGTAGTGACTAGTCTGTCTTATCCTGTGGGCCTCGTTGACTACACTTCTCGCTAGACGGGATCGTTACAGCATCGGGGACGTTACAGGATGGCGTGACCTTCACGTAACCCGAAAAGACGAAAACGTAAGCAGACGATAATACTAAAAGCCACAAATAGGCGATTCAAACACAACAAAAGAAAATAGAAAAGAAATTTAAAAAATAAAACAGAGCGACATTGCAGGACAAACTAACATAGTGAAAGCAGGAATGACAGTAAAAGTTCGTCAGCAAAACTAAAAAGGATAATAACACAAAACCATCAACACTAACCCGCACTAACCCGTTTTTTTCGATTTTCTCTCACAAAAACTTGTCATATTATCCTGCGACTATCTTATTCTCTTATGCGGTGATTTTAATCGCGTGAATTTACGTCCCCTTACATTTTTAGGCTTCGATGATCTTGTCTCCTTTAATACTCGCGCAGATGCCCCTCTTGATCATATTCTGACTAACCACAGCAATATTTTTTGCGTCAAAAATTGGACTCCACTGTCAGGTTCTGACCATTTCACTTTATTTTGTCTTCCAAAAATCTATTCCACTTCTAAACGTGCACTGCTAGTCAAGCCTGAGAGGAAGGTTAAGGTTCGCAACACGTCCGTCCAAAACATTCTCCTGCTTCAGACTTGCATTTCTCTTACTATCCCCACTTTCCTTGAACATTCTAATGTCACGGTGACATGCGGATCGGATGCAGCCACACAGGCGGCATTGACGGGCCAGGCATTGGACAAAGTGCGCCATAAAAAGGAAAGCTGTGTGCACGACTGCTCAGTCTCTGAAGATGGGTAGAAGAAACGAATACCCGAAACGTCAGACCTCAAATACACCTCCCCCCGTGAACGCCTCCTCTTCTGTTGATATGTCACCCGGCAATCGCATTTTCACCACTATTGTTGAGAATTTCTTCCCCCTATCTGAAATCGTTAAGACGTAAAAAAGAACTCCTTTACAAGCAAGGCTTACGTGATAACCTTAAGGACGTTACCGTCTTAATAAAAACAGTGATTGACAGACTAAATAGCCTGTTTGTCAGTCAACATTTTTCTTCTTCTTCCTCCCCCCCCCCTTTCCCCACTTCCTCAGCTGAAATTTGGAAAAATCTTAAGCGTCTCACTGGCCATCGCAACACAGTGGTGCATGTGGATGCAGATTTAGACTCCCTAAATAAAAATTTTATATTTAGTCACAATGACTCCCATCTTCCCTTAGATGAAATTACCCTATCACCGAGTACACCCTAAAAAGGTCCGTGGATCAACAGCTGCCGGACCGGATTGTGTTTCGCCCTTTCTTCTTAAATCTTGCAGTTCTCAGATACCCCCTATTTTAACGCACCTTATCAATATGTCTTTCATGGAGTCCAAGATTCCCGACGCCTGTCGTACAGTGAGAATCACTCCCATCCCTAAAAAGCCCGCTAACTTTGGTCCTAAATTTTTTTGTCCAATTGCCTGCTCCTCTGCAATACTAAAGCTTGCTGAAAGAGTTGCCCCAGATATCATAAAGCCTTTTTCTTCCAGTTTTTCCGACCCTTTACAATTTGCATTTATCCAAACGGAGTACTTTAGATGCTGTCGCTCTTGTGGACTACTCTGCTCTTAAAGCCTTAGACACGGGTTGCCGCGAGTATGGGTGCGTTTTTCTTGATTACTCCTCCGCCTTCAATACCGTCCCGCGCCCTCTTCTCCTTACCAAAACCTCCGCATTTGGCTCTCCAGGCTGGGTCGTCTCTTGGCTGAGCGATTATTTTACCTTCCGCACCCAATCTGTCCAGTCTGGCAAGCGGAAATCTTCGACCCTTCCCAATGACTACGGTGTTCTTCAAGGTTCCATTCTATCCCGTCATATTTTCTCCCTCCACACTGACGACCTAAGGTCCCCTAATGACTGTCTTCTGGTCAAGTATGCTGATGATGTGGTTGTTGGACACCCTCTCAAAAGTCAGACACACCTCCGGTCTCTAAAGTGTGGCCTTAACCATGTCCTAGCGTGGTCCGAGGAAAATGGTCTCCTAATTGACAACCAAAAATCCGTTCAGTGTATTTTTCGACTGAGGCCCTCTCGTAACCCTGATTCCTCTGACATTCTTCCTAACGAAGTATCCTCTTTCAGGTACCTCGGCGTTACTTTGTCCTCAAATCTTTCATTTTCCCTTCGTACTGAGTCCCTATTTATTAAAGTTCGTAAACTTCTTTACTACATACGTCGTTTACGTTCCTACCACACACCTCAACTCTTAGTCTGGCGATTCATTGATGCCTGCATTCTTCCTCTTATCCTATACTGCTCTCCTGTAATTTCTCCTGCTTTGCTAAAAAAGGATCTTTTAATTTTGAAACGAGTCCTCCGCATGCTCTCTTCTGCTGCTGGTGTTTCTTATCTTTATTTAGTTAACACTATCTTACAACGACACTTCAATGCGGTCAAGCAATTTGCTGGTCGAATTCTGGATGACGTTGCCCAGCCCTTACATTCTGATCTTATGTCTGCGAAGTCTTCCCGCCCGATGCGCCGCAACTTCCGTCTTATATCCTGTCGCACATCGGCTTATCGTGCTTCTGCATTGCCATTCCCAGCGCGCTATCTTACGTGCGAAGAGACAGAAATATAGAAGCTAAGACTTGAACTATCCCCACAATAATCGTTTCTTTGTGTTAAACTTTGAATCTTGAATAATCTATTAACTTATTTACTGCCCAGAGTGAATGGAGCCATTTTTTCTGAAAATTTTGAACTTACGATTTCAAAATAAAGCGAATTCTACTCTCTCCCTCTCTCTCTCTCTCTCTCTCTCTACCAAAACTGACACAAGAAGCAAACATTAGGAATTCTGTATGCTCTAGGGAGCAGTGAGTGCTCAATCCCCATAAATGACGCTACCGGCTTCTGTTGGTCAGTAATTAACACGGCAGGACTTATGTGTGTGTTCGTGAGACAGTGGCTCAAACCGCGAAATGCGCACCACTGGCTTCTGTGATACAGTTACAAGAAAAGCAGGCATTCCGAGTGTGTTCGTAAGTAGAACGAGTTTAACACCGCGATCAATCTCAATAACGGCTTCTGTAACATAGTAGTCATCACAGGAGGCATTCTCGGAGTGTTCTGGCATTCTAAATGTGATTGACAGTCCAACAGGCTAAACCACAAGACAAATGGCACTACTTGTTTCTGTGACACGGAAACCAGCCAAGCGAGCGTTCTACGTATGTAAGTGAGGTGGGCTTGATTAAACACCCGATCCCAAGTACCATTGTCCTCTGTGACACCCCAGACAACTCAGAATGCATTCTGTCCGAGTTGGTGGGCTGAGCGCGCTCAACCACCCGACCAGAGGTACCAAAGTATTCAGTGACAGAAAAGACATCCTAGCATGCATTCAGTGCGAGTTTGTAGGCAGCACATGCTCAACCAAACGATCAGTGGTATTACAGCCAGCAGTGACAAAAAAGTCAGTCTAGCAGTCAATCAGTGCGATTTGGGGAGATGAACATGCTCAACCAAACGACCAGTGGCAACACAGTCAGCAGTGACGCAACAGACACTCTAGCAGGGACAATCTAGCAGCGATTTGGTGAGATGAGTGTGTTCAAACACCCGCCAGATTTACCACAGCCAGCAGTGACACAACAGGCATTCTAGCATCCATTCAGTGCGACTTGGTATGCTGAACATGCCCAACCACCCGACCAGTTTTATTACAGCTAGCAGTGACACAACAGTCGAGCAGGCATTCAATGCGACTTGGTGAGATGAACGTGTTCTATCAGCCACCAGTGGTACCACAGCCGGCAGTGACCCAACAGACAGTCTAGCAGGCACTCAGTGCGACTTGGTGAGATGAGCGTGTTCAACAGGAATCACAAATTGTGGAGAAAATACTGCGTCACTAGACAAGCTGAATCCTTCAACACCTACAAGACACAGAGGAACAAACTGAGGAAGCTGTTAATGCAGACGCGGGGGGAATTCGAGAAGAACTTGCTACAAAACGCAACGTAGAACCCAAAATTGCTCTACAGCTACCTCCGACGAACTACAAGGAACAGGCATCAAATCCCCTTGATAAAGACTACTGATGGCGTTGAGATTGCTGATAGTAGGGATAAAACTGCGTATTTTTCACGGTTTTTCCAATCAATCTACACAAACGAGGCAAGGTTCCTTCCTCCCTCCACAGAAGAACTGCCGACTCCAAGCGTCAGTGATATACTCTTCTCAGAAGGCATTGTCCGAAGAGAATTAGAGGCATTGAACGAATCGAAGTCGCCAGGACCAGACGAGATTCCACCCAAGCTTCTGAAGGAACTTGCCAGTGAGCTCTCTATGCCTTTGTCGATGCTCTTTCAAACGTCATTTGACACTGGAACACTTCCTGTCGATTGGAAGCTGGCGCATATTACTCCGCTACACAAAGGATGTAACAGGGCAGCGACGACAAATTACCGGCCCATAAGCTTGACATGCATTCTCTGCAAAGTTATGGAAAGGATCATAAAGACTGAACTGATGCAATTCCTGGAAGTTCACGGCCTGCTATCGAATTGCCAACATGGGTTCCGAGCAGGAAGATCATGCACGACAAACCTGCTGCAATCTCTCCAGAGCTGGACCCAAGCTCTCGACGACAGGCACGCGGTCCACATAGCCTTCATCGACTTCCAGAAGGCTTTCGACACTGTGCCACACGAAAGGCTCTTACATAAGCTGAAAAAAATAGGGATCGGTGGAAACCTCCTTAAATGGATCGAAAACTTCCTTGTGGGTCGACACCAGGTTGTGTGCGTCGGTCGGGGAAAATCAGATCCGGCTATGGTCGATAATGGTGTCCCCCAGGGTTCAGTTCTGGGACCCATTTTGTTCCTTATCTACGTGGACGATGCCGCAAGAGATTTAGATTGTGAAGTAGCAATGTTTGCGGATGACATGAAGATATGGATTGTAATTCGGGGTCCTGCCGATGAAGACAGACTACAGATGAACCTGAATCGGTTGGAGGAGTGGCCAAACCGTTGGCTCCTGCGGTTCAACGTTGCCAAATATAGCATACTTCGCCTAGGCAACACAGCCAGATCCGCCAGCACAAGAGGCTACTTTCTGGGCGGTGCAGCCCTACAAGAGGTCGAAGCCCAAAAGGACCTCGGTGTGCTTACATCGAGTGCCCTAAAACCATCCGCCCACTGTTCGTGGGTGGCAAAAAGCGCAATGTCCGTACTGTACGCCATCAAGCGTGCGTTTATGGAGTTTGACGAAGAAGCTTTCTCGAAAACATTCGGAACATTCGTCCGGCCGCATTTAGAGTACGGCGTACAAGCTTGGAGGCCGTGGGCTGTTTTGGATCAAAACTGCCTCGAAAGAGTCCAGAGGAGAGCCACGAAGATGGTTAGGGGTCAAAGCTCCTTTCCTTATGCAACACGCCTAGTAAATCTGAACCTCTTTCCTTTGAGTTACAGGCAACTTCGCGGGGATCTCTTGCAAGCCTTCCGCATTGTAAAGGGGTTGGATTGCAGTCTGGCCTTCGAAGACTTTTTTGAATTTGCTACCACGACCAACCTCCGAGGTCACCCGTTAAAACTGCGCACTCAGCAGGCACGGCTGGATGTGCGGAAGTTCTCCTTCGCGGTTCGGGTGGTCAAACCATGGAATGAGCTTCCCGCAGATGTTGTGATGTCACCATCTATACAAAGTTTTAAGAAGAATCTGGACATATTCATGTTCCGAAATGACCAAGAGCGATGAGAAGTCGAGCTCACCCCCTGTAACTCCTTCTCATTTTGTCCCACCATTATGGGCGTGTTCGAACTATTTCAGCCCAGAACATCTATCTGTACACTACACATTTTTTACGTTGCAAATAGGGTACTCAAAGGCTTACGCCTATTTCCCTCAATAAACTGAACTGAACTGAACTGAACCACCCACCAGTGGTACCACAGCCAGCAGTGAGACAACTGACAGTCTAGCATGCATTCAGTGCGACTTGGTGTGCTGAGCGTGTTCAACAACCCGACCAGTTATACTACAATAATTATTTATTTAATGCCAGTTTACGGGCATTGTTAAGGGAAGCGATTAAACACAAATCCGAGCAGCAGTGAAAAAAAACTCCTGAGGTAAAGAAATAAAAATATAGTTGATGGTGGTTTTCATGATTTGGAGGGTCCAGGAGAAAAAACTGCTGGTGGTAGATTTTCGACCATC